CACACCTTTACTCATATGCAAACTCTAAATACCTACACTGGTATATATAGAGATTATGAACATCCACACTTGTAGTCATATGGAGACTGAACATCCACACTTGTATTTATATGGAAGCAGTGAACATCCACACTTGTATTCAAATGCTCTAAACTGTACAGAAAATGAGAATCTGAAACACTACCAGCAGCATGTCAATAACTTCACGAAACACGAAAGGTTTGAAATGTTGAATAGGTTTCATACATACAATTTTGCTGTGCCCTCAGTTTGCGTATCATTTATTAATGTTCCGCTAGCTCAAATAGAGCTATTTATTATGTTTACATGATTTTTCTCATTTTTTTACTCAAGTATTATGTTTAATTCAATTGTTTCTGGTGGAAATAAATAAACAATTCAAAAATACACTATGTTCTGGTATAGTTTTTTTTTAATTGTTTAAAGACGGTATAAACAGTGTTATGTCTTTTTTTTATTACAAAGATTTCCATTTTGTACAAGATATAACTCCTCAATTGGGAAAAAACTAAATTTTTAGCTAGCTCACAAGTTTGTGTTGTATGTATATATACATGAAGCTTAATTGCGCATTGATCATGTCAACTACATCAACTCTTGCTAAATACATCCATCTCTGTGTGGTTCAATCAATATACAGTTTCCTGTCATCCTGTTTATATTCTGTCATTGGGAATTTGGTTGCATGGCAACAACATCAAAAGCAAAGATCTCCCTCAGCGACATATCACCACACCATATAGGCATTCTTTTGGCAGTATTTCAAGTTTGAACATAACATCCTTAGGTTGACAGTATTTCTGACAGCTTGATAGTACAGATGGATAACCATCTTCACAAGTATTGATGGTAGCAGCAAAACATCAAGGGAGCACTTGTCTCCAGACAATGATAGATGTTCAGGTTACCACACGTTCTATTTGTTCATATCCTGCTCTTATAAGATATTGGAAATGTGAGCTGTCTCTGAGATCACCAAGTTCATCAGACGACAGCAATGTGTCAATGTCAGGTAGATACTCATGTAGATCCAGTCCTGTTGTGAAACCATACAGATAGTATTATTATACTATTGTACATTGTAACACATTACATTCAATTTGTGTTGGGTATATTGAGTTGCTTTGCTTTGTTCAAGTTGGTTATTTGGTTTATAATATTATAATACTATGAGGTTATTACGAGGTTACCTCAAAGTATGTACAAAGACAGTACAGCGAGAGTATCGAACGACGTGCAGCATCTTATTTTTATACATCTTTTCCTTCCAAAGATACATCATGAGAATGCAGAAATCCAAAAAGTTTGGAACAGAATCAGCGAAATTCTTTGTGTGGAGTTGCAGC